TTCATTTTGGGGGCATTTCTCTGTGACTTCTTGATTGGAGAGACCTAAGATATAGAATGAAGATTCTTGGTGCTATTTAGAGCCCCTCTGATACCTGAAAAAGGCCTGTTCTGGTGACCTCAGGGCTCAGACATGATTGGTTCAGGGCCAGGGAAGGCAGTATTGAGAACTTTTTGCATAGGTTCAGATTTTAATCTAGATTCAGGGACCCAGTCAAACTGTCTCCCTAAGATCTTATTTTAGTTTTCAAAGCTAAAACCTCTAAAAAATTGGCTCTGCTTGCAGTTTAAGTAAAAACCTTCATATTTATGGCTTTTCTAGTTTTCCTTCAGTGGTTGACATCCATTTAACCCTCTGAATCTAAAATATGCTTTGTGAACTGAGATTATGAGAGGAAGCCAGTTTGGAAGACAAGGGTCATAGCATCCAGAGGTTTGGAGGAGAGGGACCTGGAAAGGGGGATATAGGAACGTAGTGGGGGAGGTAAAGAGGGGATATTGGTAAACCAAAGAGTGAGAGTGAATGGTAAGTAATCCAGTGGTCTAGGAGAGAGGGAGGGGTGAGAGTTGAAGAGAGAAAGAGAAAAGATGAAGGAGAGAATAAAATAAACTGTTCGAAGAGAGATGAAATTGCCATAAAATATGGGGACAAAACATTCGGGAAAAGAGAGAGCAGGAGGCAGAAAAGATGAAGAGGAGGCAGATGAGGCAGGGGAAGTGAGGTGGAAAGTAGGTGGGACGGGGGTAGGGGTTGGGGCATGGAGGTCCCAAGATTTGGACTCTTTTTTGTCACCATGCATCTGTACAGCAGATAAATACAGTGCAGCTGGGCTTTTCTCTCTTCTTAATTGACATCTTTGGATCTATCCCCGCTTGACAAATCAGGCCACTTATTATTAGTGATGACAAAGATAAATATGACAGGCATTCATTTTGCATCTGGGCCCCCTGATAATAGAAGTCAGCACACCAGCCCCTCTCCCCACTGCTTCCTCACCCCCGGCTTGGGCTCCCCAGTGGGGAAACTGCGTGGCCAGGAGCTGTCCACGGCGGCATCTACAGACCCCCTCCTGGGAAGGGAAGCCAGGGGACAGGACCTGTCCACGATTTGAGTGGTGCTGAAAGCCTCTATACCCTGCCTCCTGTCTGATTCCAACATGAAAGCTGGGTGGCTGGAAGCTGTCCACAGCCTATGTGGTGTTGAAAGCCCTGTCCCCAGGGCTGGGGTGGCAGGGTGCATCTCTTTCCCACAGAGCACAATTACTTCTGGCATGGAGTAGTCAGTGGCTTAAATTTACCTGCCTTGCCATGGTTCTAAAAAACCTGGATGACTTCAAGTGTGTTCCTTCCTAACTCTGGGTCTCAGGATTTCCACCTTTAAAATGAAGGGCTGGATTAGGTGTTCTCTCAGGGTCCTCAAGCACTAGTCTTTTCTGTTATCAAAAGCCTTCAAGAGATTCCTTCTGCTTATAGGATCGAGCTACAAATCCTTTAGCCAGGCCCTGAAGGCCCTCTCTGGACCCCTCCACTTCCTGGCTTTGCCCTCATTCTAGTCAGATGAGCCTTCTCTCAGGCCCCAGTCACACTCTTCTTTTCTTCCCCTGAGCCTTTGCCATCCCCACTGTCCTCCTTCTGCCTCTGACTCTCTCCCTTCCGGATCTCTGGGAGCACCGACCACCTGGGCCTCTCCTTGAAAACCAATGGCCTTATGCTCAGTGTGCTTTCAGTTTCTTATGTCTTATAAGGCTGTGTCTTACATGGCTCCCCTTGAGGGACTTGCTGAGGCCAGGGTCATGCTCTGAATCAGTGATCAGTGGCTCACAGTTTCCCATGACCATGTGTGTGGAGCCTGGGTGAGTACTTGCGGTATTTTGACCCAATAAGCTCCTTTAATAAAACTATGATTGCTCTTTCAAGGCTGCCAATGAAAGAAGATTACTCCAAGAAGTGCTTAGCTGAGGCTTGTGGCCCCCTCTTTGAGACAGAATCTTTCTGAGGCTCCCACTCCAAGCTGGCATGGGTGGCCAAGGTCACACTTATGTAGACAGATAATCCTGCCTCATGTCTCCATGGAGTGGCCAAGACATGTTGGGTCACACAAACAAGCCTCCATCTCTGTTTACTCTGAGCCTACCTACGACAGTCAACCCAATGCCCTCATTGTATGGTTGGCACAGCTGTCCCACCTTCAACTTCAGGGACCTTTCAGGGAGCTTCCAACCCACTCCCCCACTAGAGCTCAGACTGCCTCATAAAGTTTTCTCTCTGGAGCTCAACCATGGAAGATCCAACTTGATTAGTGGAGATGTGAGAGCTTCTCTGCACACTGTTCCCATGCAGGTGAGTCGCCTCTCCCTCTGCCCTCCAAAAATAAGGAGCTTCCATCTGTTGGGCTGGGCAAGCAAATAGAGAAGTGGTGGTTCTCTTTTTTTTGCTAAACCCATGGGAAACTAAAAGTGGCCCGGAGGTGGCATCATGCATGAGGTGGGCATCATGAGATAAGGGACTCCTCATCTCAGCGGAGCAGGCAGAACCACATCCTGACTGTCTAGAAAAAAAATCGTTGGGAAGAAAATTCTGTCTCCTCTCTAGGCCCATTTTCAGCCAATTCACCAGGACAGGCTTTGGCATCCACTCTGCCCACTGCCCACTGCTTGGCAGAGCCCCTAAAGCCATGGCTAGTAACCAGAAGTTCCAAATGGTTTAGAGGGGAGAGCTGTGTTTGCTAACGGATCTGACTGTGTCTGACAAACTGAAACCATGTGCTTGGTGGCCTCAGGTCCTCTGGGAAAGTGGGCCCAGGGCACTAACCTTCCCTCAAATATACTGGCACATTCTCAGAATCCCAGCGTTTGCCCTGTTGAACCTCATAACAGTGATCAAAGGGCTTGAAGATGATCTTAGATTCTAGACCAACTCCTCTTTTTAAATATGAGAAAACTGAGATTTCCCCAGGAAGGGAAAATCAGTTGCCTGAGCTCACACAGCAGAGAAAGGAGCCTCTTTGTCTCTTGGCTCTCAGTCTCATGCTCTTCCTCTTCCTGCCAGAAGTGTTTGCATTTTAATAGACTTGTGGAGGCTCAAGTGCCTCAGTGTCCCCTCTAACGGTAAGGACTTCAGGCATGGTGATGTGGTGATGGAGCTTTTGGGGATCCATGCTGAGGCTGTCTCCTGTCTTGTGGAGAATGTCTATGACCTCCAGCAGAAGAACTGTACAGAGAGCAGATATGACAGGGCACCCCTTTAGAAACTACCTTTAGGACTCTGCACTCTCCCAGGCTGATGGGCGTTGGAGGACCTCATTTGTCTCTGCACTGGGGGATGAATGGCTCGGGAGGAGCTAATGAAACCGTCTTCCCACCAACACACCACGACAGTGACGGATGGCTCGTGTGGAAAAGGCAGGTGTTGGCACATGGCCCATTGGGCAGGGTAGAGAATAAGACGTCCTTCAATGTCACTGTAGGTCACAGTGATGGCTGGGGCCTCAGGGAGGGGGCATGTAGGCTCTGGAGTGCAGTGACAAAGACCTCAGGGAAAGTCAGTGCCTCCCATAGCCCCCTTTCTGTGACCGGCAGACAGAAGGTCAGAGTTGTAAGTGTGATAACAGCCATATAATCCTGCTAGTTGTTGTCCAAGTGGAATTATACTGGCCCAGAAAGGGATAGTGAGCTGACCAAGGTCACACAGTTAGATAAGGTCAGAGATTGCTGAAAAGATCCTCAGTGGTCCAGGAGAAGGAGAAGAGTGACCTCAGGATGTATCACTATAGCACTATTCTCACCTGCAGGGGAGGGCAAGGGGAGGGTCCCACTTTTTGCCTAGTATTGGAGACCTTGATGATCTGTCTGCACATTCTTTTCCTCCTTACTCTGCAGCCCACATCATCTGCCTTCCACTCCCAACCTCTGAGCCTTAGCTCATGCCCGCTGAGGGCCGATTGTCCTCCAAGGGGCTCCCATCCGTCTGTCTGCTTATCTATGAGAGGCATAGGCCCAAATGTCATTTGTCATCATGCATTCCACTTGGCATTCTGAACTCACTCCCAGTGCAAGGTCCCCACCGGAGTGGTGTCCCATTACCATGCCCTCTCCCCATTAGTATTTTGGAAAAACCTCTCCAAAGAACATTCTCCTCCATGGCAACCATTCCTGAAGTTTTGGAAGTATTACAGCTACATGCCAGAAGCCTGCATTCCTGGTATATAGGAAATAAGTCAGGCCAAAGCGGGGAGACGGATGGAAAGAGAAAAGGGTGGAGTGAGTTATTGGCCTCTCTGCAGGCCTAGAGCAGTTTCACCCCAACCCTGGCCACCAAGATCTTCACTTCTTTCTGGTCCAGGTGGTCAGTCTGGCCTGGGTGGGCCTGTGGGATTTGACGGAGGAAGCAGGAGAAAGAGTGGCCCCAGAAGCAGTTGCTCCCCTCACCTCTGCCAGGGGCTCCTCACCACTGCAAGTGGTCTTGTGAACATTAGCTTGCCTGACACCTGCTATCACAGCCCTGGGAGGTGAGCTGGGCATTGTTGGCCCCATTTCCCAGATGACGACATTGAGGTCCAGGGAGAGCAATGACCCAGTCCAAAGGGATCAGTGGGTTAGTGGCATTTGTTCGTTTTTCTCAAATCAATAAATATTTACTGAGGCACTGAGCTAGGTGCTGGGAATATGAGATGAGCAGGGCAGACATGATTCCTGTCTTGCAAGGCCCTTCAGAGGCCCAGGTGCCTGCATTGCTGGGTCTCTGGCCTCTGGAGGTACATGCGTTGGCAGGAGCACTATCTTGAGAGTCCTCCCTTGAAACTCGGTGTGCAGATGTATACCTCAGAGCTCTTCCTCCTGTCCAAGGGACTTTCTTGGAAGCCAGCATCCTCGTGGGCACTTCCCCGCCTTCTTCCTTCAGCGCATCCATCGGCCCCTCACGGTGTCTGGTTTTCAGTGTCCCACTTGCCAGGACCTCCTCCCTTAACTGCCACTCACAATTCCTGTTATTCACCTTTCACAGGGAATGAAATGAAAGAACAAAAAGGAAAATCTTTACCTGTACAGCCCCTTGGAGGATGGGGTGGGAAGTAAAGGCCTGCCACCCAGTTTCCTGCTGCCTGGAGAAATCTGGAAGATCTCCTAGGGCTTTGGAGAATGAAGGCACCCTTGTCTGGTTGCCACCACAGCCTCCTCTCTCACCCCCACCTCCTCCTCCTCATCTTCAGCCCACCAAGGCCAGATTTGTCTTGCAAAGTGGCATCATTATAAACGCATCAGCCTCCTCTGGACGCCTGTGCCCGCTCCCGCCAGCCCATCCAGGCTCGATTACATCTGAGGCTGTCTGGGGTAATTAAGTGACATTAGGACGCATCCCCCATTGTAATGCAGTGTTCAAAGCCCTGGGCTTTTGCTTCCCGAGAGCTGCTGCCGCTGCACTGAGGTTGTGTCTGCCTAATGCACCCCACTGTGATTGCAGCTAATTACTCCACAGACAGGCCTCATTAGTGGTGGGTTCGGGATGGAAGATGAGAAGCAGGCTGTCTCCCCTGCCTTCCCCAGCCCACTGGCTTATCCTCTCCCTCCATGGCCCAGTTTGCCTCACTTTACTGTTGAGGCAGAATTAGAATAGGGCAAAGGAATTCCCAAAAGAGGGCTCATCTGGACAAGGTCATCTACTGAGCTACAGGGCCTTCAGGAACTTTTCAACTGCTTTATTCAACCAATGGGAAGCCAAGGCCCAGAGGAGGTTACTGACTTGTCCAAGGTCACACGGCACAAGTGAAATGTGCCACCTTTCCTAACTGCCCAGCTTGGAGGGTTGGGGTGGGCAAAGTGGGATTTGCACAGCCAGGACCCATCTGGGTCCAGAGCTAGTGGGAGAAAGGGCTCATGAGCACCCAGGAAAATAGCTGGATGGCTACGCTACCCCAGAGGCTCTTTCTGGTCTCTAGGCCTTTGCAACTCTTGCCTGGAATCCTCTTCTGATGCCCTGCACCTGCCACCTTGCACCTGGCTGACTCCTTTCATCCTTCAGGTCTCGCTTTCTCTAGGAAGCCTCCCCTAACTCCTGAGTTTGGTGACCCTCATATGTGCTTCCATGATACTCTGTACTTCCCCATCTTGGCAGTCATCTCTCTGAATTGTCAATACCTAATACCCCACATGACTATACCCATAGGAGGATCAAGCGCTGAGACCCTCATGTTCACGTAGTAGGCATTAGTCTAGCTCACAGATGGCTTCCGGTAAGAATCAGTAGAAAGAAAGATGTAAGGATTGATGGCTGCTTGACCAGTACCATGAGTACCATGGTAAGGCTGTTGGTGTTCACTCACATCTGAGAGTTTCTTTATACTTCCCAGCCTCCCTTGCTCTTAGGTTGGTCACATGACTCACTCCAGCAAATGGGACGTGAGCAGAAGGTATATATGTTACCTGGAATAAGGTGAATAATTATCTGGTGTGCTTTTCTACAATCCTCGTTGCCTGAGTGATGCCAAGATAATTTTGAAGCTGCAAGATGGTGGAGCCACAAGAAGAAAGGAGCCTGTATCCCTGAGTCACCACACAGAAGAGAGACATCCAGAAAAGCTGCCTGACATGGGTCATATGGGTAAGAAATCAACCTTACTGTGCAAAGCCACTGAGATGTTGGGGCTACTTATGAGAGCGGCTAGTGGGAATTACTCTGACTAATATAAGGGGGTTAAACTTGACGGGATGCAAATAGGAAATGGCTTTTTTCCAATCACTGCTTTTAAACATGCTCCTATTAAGCCTCCTTTCCCTGTCTCTTGACAACATCTTGGACAGATTCTAAGTTTTGGTTACTGTTGGTTGTTAGAAGAGCCTCATCTTAGTAATTAGGATTCACTTTCAGGGCCAGCCCAGCCTCAGAGATTTATGCTCATATCCAATCGAAAACTTCTTCCTTTCCTTCAGCTCAGGTCTGACCCATGGCTTGGAGATCAAGATTGGTCTGTTCTTTTGCCTCACTTCTACTTTCTTGCCCTCCTGCTGCTGGCTCCTTGAGAGTCAGGGCAAGGAGACAGAGGAATAGTAGAAAAAGGGGTTAAAAGTCTTAGATAGGTCCCCGTCACTGTTGTGACGTCACTGCTGATGTCCTGGGTGTCAGGTTATCAGAGGCTGGTGTTTGGGGCAGTGTTTTTGTTGGTCTTTTTGAGGTACTACATGGACCACCATCTGCCCCCTTCTCTGATGGTGGCCATGCAGAATGCAGCTCGGCATGGCCTCCTGTTATACTCTTCTCTCCTGCCCTCACCCAGTTTCTGCCACCAGGGGTATGTCCCACCAGGGGTAGGTCCCACCAGGGGTATGCCACTGAGGATTGTAGACAGGGGTATGTGGGGAACTCATGCCTCCTTCCTACCATAGGACAGCAGACTGCCTCACCGATTCTCACACTCCAGTGTGGCCTGCGCCAAGGCAGGCACCTGAAAGACGTGGGAGGTAACAAGTCCAAAAACGAGTGGAACCATCTGTCCTTTCTTAGGGGCCCTATGGAGGGAGGAAAGAAGCCTGAAAAATAAATGGGACTTAGAATTCTGTTGGTCACAGATTTGTAACATCGAAGTTGAGGGGATTATTTTGTGTCTTAAAAGGATTCCTCTAGGACTCAAGTAACTTGGAGTTTGGCTAAGTGGAGGGTGAGGATGAGACAGATTGTAGCGCTGGTCTGTGCTCTTCAGAGGTCATGGGTTCTTTGGGGAATACGATGAAAGTTCCATAGAAAAGTGCATGTATTCATGTATGGATATGACACTTTAGGGCATCCTGAATCCCACTGTGTCTCCCAGAGGAGTCCATGAAATCCCAACTAATTATCTCCAAACAAAAGTGCTGCTCACCTGAAGTCTGATTCCTTCAGTGTGGACCCATTTGGGGACCCTGGCACCCACCCCCTACCCCCTCCTCAGACTTTCTCTGCAGCATCACAGTGAACTTACTCTTCTCCAATGCACATGACAATTCCTGCCTTCGTGTCCTAGCCTCTGCTGTGCCTCCCACTGGGGCATCCTTTCCTCCATGCCACCCAGGTCTCACTGTTGTGCAGAGCTCAGCCTACACTCCATCTTCTCTAGGAAGCCATTGGTGGTAGGCAAGATTCTAAAGACATTGCCCCAAGACTCCTGTCCCTGGCTATTCAGTTGAATATGAATTCAGGTAGGCTGTGAAGAAGGGATTTTGCAGATGAAGTTAATGCTACTAATCAGCTGACCTTCAAGTAGGGATATTAACCTGGATTATCTGAGTGGCCAAACATAATCACATGAGCCCTTAAAAGCAGCAGAGGATGGCAGCAGAGTCAATCAGAGAGATGTGGTGGAAGGGGAGGGCAGAGAGATGAGGCGAAAGAGAAGGTCAGAGCAGAGCAAGTCACAGTGCAAGGAGGACTTGACATTGCATTGCTGGATTTGAAGATATGAGAAGAGGCCAGGAACTGAGGATGCGGGCAGCCTTCAGAAGCTCAGAATCATGGCAAAAAAGTGGGCACCTTGATCCTGCAATGGCATGAAACAATTCTGCCCCCAACATGAATGAGGCTACAAGCAGATTCCTCCCCAGAGCCCTGGGAAAGGAACACAGCCCTGATGACACCTTGATTTTGGCTTTGTGAATCCCAGAGCAGAGAACCAGCTGAGCTGTGCCATGCCCAGATTTCCAACCTATAGAACTGTGAGATGATAAATAGGTATGGTTTAAGCTGCTGAATGTGTGATAATTTGTTACAGCAGCAATAGAAACTAGCACTTCATTGGCAGTGCATTAAATAGGGCTACAAAGTCTTTGACATATTGAGAGGTGGAGGTGCTTCCCTGGCCCTTGAATCTCAGCTGGTCTGTGACTTCTTTGACCAAGGTGGCCAGCAGAAGTGAAGATATACCAGGTCCAATTTTTAAAAACACTGAGGCTGGGCGCAGTGGCTCACACCTGTAATCCCAGCACTTTGGGAGGCCAAAGCAGGTGGATCACCTGAGGTCGGAGTTCAAGAGCAACCTGGCCAACATGGTGAAACCCTGTCTCTACTGAAAATACAAAAATTAGCTGGGTGTGATGGCGGGCACCTGTAATCCCAGCTACTCAGGAGGCTGAGGCAGGAGAATCGCTTGAACCCAGGAGGCAGAGTTTGCAGTGAGCCAAGATCATACCACTGTACTCCAGCCTAGGTGACAGAGCAAGACTCCGTCTCAAAACAGACAAACAAACAAACAAAAATACTGTCAGCTGCCACATTGGTTTCTTGGAGCTGGGAGCTGCCATTTAAGAACTTTGGCTATGCCAAGACATCCATGCAGAGAAGAAGCCCAAGCTAGCTATGTGGAAAGGCCATGTGGTCAGAGGTGCCTGATCAGTTCCAGCTCCCAGCCATTAGTCATCCCAGCTGAGGTCACGGACATCATGGAGCAAAGTCAAGCCATCTCCACTGTTCCCTGTCTGAATCACTGACCCACAATACAGAGAGATACTATAATAATAAACTACTGTTCTTAAGGCATTAAGATTTGAAGTAGTTTGTTACACAGAAATAGACAACTGGGCTACACCATGTCAGTTTCAACTCCCAAGGATCTCTCCCTTCTTTCAATCCCTGGAGCTCACTATGCTGCTGCACGTACTTGACTCCAGAAGCTGATCTAAATACGTCTGCAGCAAGAAGGGTCAGTGGTGGGGTTGGCATGTTTCCCCTGCCCCGAGGACCCACCCTAGCAGGTTACACTGCACACTTGAAATTTCTAGGTGAACTCAAGGTCTTGAGTCTGCATCTGCAAGTCAGTGCGTGGTAGACCAATGAAGGCTTCTCTGGCTCAGATCCTTTTGCATATAGTGTGCTCTGGACTATATGGAACTCTCCCTCCTACCTACTGGTACTACCAGGAAGAGAGCTGTCCCTGGTGGTGTCAGCTCAGTTAGAGGAAAGCCACTTATGATGCTGGACATACCCAAGGATTACCTTACTCACATCCCTTCTTGTGAACTCTGCTCACGAGAACAGAGGGTTCTTCCCTCTGTTCCGTGTTCTCATTTCCCCTGGGGTCACCCCCATCCACCTCAGAGAATACAGAAAAGGATTTTCCCCCACCAGCCATGCCCCACCTCCCTAAGTTTGACCAGTTCTCAGGTTACTCCCAGGAAGCAGTGGGACACTTTATGCAAACTAAGGAATGGATTGTACCAAACCCAAAGACAACCACCAGCCTTTGTGATCAGACATGATTTTATCTTCTTCAGGGGACTGAGGGTAGAGACCATGGTTTTGATTTCTCTGGGTCCCCAGTGGTACCCAGAATGAGGCTGGGCATGAACGAAGGTTAATTTATGATGGTCAGTCAGTATCTCTGAAATGAAATTTCGAGTCCAGACATCAGAGCTATCCTAACAAATATCCTTCCTGGGTTTTGATACCTTTCTCTGCAGGTACCCTTGGTTCAAATGAAGTCTTATGTGGAAGCTGCACAGCTGTGTCTTGGAATTGGGGGATGGGCAGGAGACCCTGTTGCCTCCACCTTCTCATCACTCCCACGGCATCTCTGAGGCACCTCCAGGGAACTCTGAGATCCATAGGGCATAGTTTGAAACCCATGGATTCATCCATTCTCGTGGTTTTCTAGCAGATAAACTGAGGCTCCAAGAAGGTCTGTGGGTCTGTGGCTTGCCTAGGATCACACAGCGAATAGAAATATTGGGACTAGAACCCCCATCCTAGCTCCTTACCTTCCTCCACGCCCCACTGTCCTAGCCAGAATCATAAAGCCCTAATATGGAAAGGCCCTCTAGGTCAGCACCTCTGGGAGCAGGAATCCTTTTTGTAGGGCTCTAACAAGAAGGACGGCATCAGCTTGCATTCCCTCTAGGGGTCGGTTGCTCGCTACTTCCAAGGCAGCCCATTTACTGGTGAGACTGTTCTAATTCTCGGAATGTTCTCTTTTATGTTTAACCCAAACAGATCTTCCTATAAATGTTTGTCCCATGTTTCCAGGGTCAAAGTTATCATACGTTATGTATATGAGGGCCAAGAATCCTACCTATACTGTGGCCCTGTTGCAGGGATCTTTTAGTGTGTGTGAGAATGTAAGTGTGTGAGTGTGTGTGTGAGAGTGTGTGAGAATATATGTGAGAGTGTGAAAGTGTGAAAATGTGTGCTAGCATATGTGTGTACGTGTGTATGTGTTTGTGTGTGTGAGTGTGTATTTGTGTGCGTGTGTTTGAGTATGTGTGTGAGTGTGTGAGTATGTGTGTGAGTGGGAGCGTGTGTGTGAGAATGTGTGAGTGTGTATATGTGTGTGTGTGAGAATGTGTGTGAGAGTGAGAGTGTGAGAGAATGTGAGTGTGAGACTGTGTTTGAAAATGCGTATGTGAGCATGTGAGAGTGTGTATATGTGAGCATGTGTATGTGTGTGTATCTGTGTGTGTATGTGTATGAGTGTGCGAGCATATGTGTGAGCATGTGTGTGAGAATGTGTATGTGTGTGAGAATGTGAGTGTGTAGAGTGAGTGTGTGTGAGAATGTGTGTGTGTGAGTGTGAGAATGTGTGAGTGTAAGAGTGTGTGTGAGAGAGTGTATTTGTGGGAGTGCATGTGTGAGTGTATGTGAGTGTGTGTATGTGTGTGCGTATGTGTGTGAGAATGTGTGTGTGAGAGTGTGTATGTATAAGTGTGTGAGTGTGAGAATGTGAGTGTGAGGATGTGTAAGAGTGTGTGAGAATGTGTGTGTTTAGAGTGTGAGTGTGTGAGAATGTGTGTGTGAGAATGTGTGTGTAAGTGTGTGGGAATGTGTGTGAGGAATGTGTGAATGTGAGCATGTGAGTGTGTGTGAGATTGTATGTGTGTATGTGAGAACATGTGTGAGTATGTGTATGTGTGTGAGAATGTGTGAGTGTGTATATGTGTGTGTGAGTGAGCATGTATGTGTATGTGAGTGGCATATGTGAAGTGTGAGTGTGTGTATGAGTGTGTATGTGTGTGAGAATGTGAGTGTGTATATGTGTGTGTGAGTGAGCATGTATATGTGTATGTGAGTGTGGTGTGTGTATGAGTGTGTATGTGTGTGAGAATGTGAGGA